CAAAGAAATAATAATTAAATTTACGGTAAATAGCGTTAAAAACCCCTTATAATATCACTCAATTTCACAACCTATTGTGTTTATAAATCAAACATTTAATATCCTCACCCTAATATTGGAGTAACAATGCCAATAACAATGTATTAAGAAGATTAAACTAACCCTACATATTGATGTTAGGCTAAAAATTTGTGTTTTCACATGTAATTTGATGTGCATTATACCTCAATCTAGTTAACTTTGGTGTAAATATTTATGACTTGAGCTTAATAATGGTGTTTATATGTGTAAGAGTCAATTTTGAAGTGATTTGGCAAGCTTGAATGCAAAGTGAAGTAAAAACAGAAGAATTTGGAGAGAGTATGATTTTGGTGCCCAGGTTGGTGCCAGGCACCAACCAAAACGCCAAAGGCAGAATAGTGGAAAATTTATGTGTCTTGGTTGGCGCTAGGCGCCAAGCGAGATGGCTAAGGGCGGATTTCGTCCTAATTTGGCTAGGACTTGGTAGTTTCAACCCTACACGCCCTCAACATATATAAAAGGGGTTCTAAACCTATTTCTTAGGGGAGAGACATTATTGGAGAGGCAGGAAGGCTACGAGAACACTTGGAAGCAACGAATCACAAGAGTTTCTCTTTCGTTCTTCCTTAATCTATATTTTAATGCTTTCAATTATTATCATGATTGTTAGTATGGTTATGAGTAGCTAAAATTTCTAATATAGTGTTTGATGGAACCTTTTAAGGATGATTTTTCTGTTACGTTTTATATAATTGAGCCGTTGGATTCCTTTACTTGTTCAATTACGTGTTTTTGCTATTGATTGAATGGCCATCAATTGACTGTGCCTATTTAATATGTATTACGTGGAAAATGATACATATTTAGGTAGTTATTGAATAACATCACTCCTAACGTATGTGAGGAATCAATACAGAGGGTTTAAAGGTGGGATTAGGAATAACGAAACCTTAGTGCGATCTTAGTGAGTGGTGAATTAGTGCCAGCTAGCGTAGTTCGGAATAATATGTCTAGTAAATTGTAGTAGTTGCTTGGAAGAGAATTACAACACCCGAAGTACTCACGATCGGTAGAGAATACTTAGGCGAAATTATAAAAAACGTAGCGGGAAGGATTCTAACAATTGAAAAAATCATAACTCTAGACCTCCTTAGTCTTTTCTCTAATTTCATCCTTGTTAGTGATAATTTTAGTGCTTTATAATAGTTGTTAGTTAATTAGTTAGAAATAAATATTATAATCTTTATAATTAGGAAATTGTTTGGACTTGTGTTTCTTAGAAATATTGAACAACTGTAGCTAAGCCTTAGTTTCCGTGGGATTTGACTCCTGACTTGTAAACCGGATTATATTTGCAACGATCGCTTAATCCTTTTTATAAGGCATTGTAATGACCCAACTGGTCGTCTTGAGCAATTGCACCCGGTTCGGCAGTTTGAGGTCAAAAACAACTTCACATTATGTATATCGACTTGTGTGCAGGGTTGGGTTTAGTTTCCAGATGAATCAGAGTCGAATTGGAAAGAAGGAATATAGTTCTGGAAGTTTAAACGGAGAGAACTTGACTCGAATTTGACTTTTGAGTAAACAACTTTGGAATGAGTTTTGGATGATATCAGTAGCTTCGTATGGTGATTTTGGACTTGGGCATGTGTTCGGATTTGGATCTGGAGGCCCGTAGGGTAATTTGATGCATTTTGGTGAAAGCTGGAAAAGTTGAAGTTTGGAAAATGGAGAGGCTTGACCCATAGTTGACTTTTGTGTTATCGAGGTCGGAATGTGACTCCGAAAGTTAGAATAGCCTGTTATTTCATTTGGGACTTGCCTGCAAAATTTCGTGTTGTTTGGAGTTGATTTGATGTGGTTCGGACGCTTGGCTGCAACTCTAGAGGTTCTTGAAGTTGATAGTGATTTTCATGCGTTTGGGCATCTGACTCTTAGTTTTAGCGTTGTTTGGCGTGATTTGAGAGTGGGGCTAAGTTTGTATGATGTTATGGGATGTGTTGGTACATTTGGTTGAGGTTCCGGGGGCCTCGGATGAGTTTCGGGTGAGTTTTGAGCGAGTCCGGACATTCCGGAACTTAGAAAATGGTTCTTATGCCTAAATCTTTGCTGAGGGCAGAAGTCTTACCGCTGAGGCGGAAGATTTTCCGCTGAGGCAGTGGGATTACCGCTGAGGCGGAAAATGGTCCCCGGTCTGCGGTGAGGAAGAATCCGTAGGTTCACTGGTCTGACTTTGGAAGCCTATATCTTTTGATCTACAAGGAATTTTGAGATGATTCAAAAATAAAAGTTGTAGCCCTTCATGTCTAGTTTTTAGAAAGCTAAAGAAATCACAATTTGGACTTCAGTAGAGAAAGTTATGTCCAAAATTTTAAATCATGTCACTGCAGTCAACATTTTCCGCTGTAGCGGTGGATTTACTACGGTCAGCGGTGGTTTTTCCGCGATCAGCGGTGATGGAAATCTGGGAGGTGCACTATAAATACGAGATTTAGGGTTTTGTTTCATATTTTTACCTAGAGAGCTCGGATCTTAGCAATATTTCGAAGGTTTTTCAAGAAGTTCATCGCGGTAAGTGATTCTAACTCGGATTTGGCTAAAATACATGAATCTATCATTGAATTCATCATTTTATTCGTGATTTGGGATGGAATTTGGGAAGAATTGTGAAATATTTCAAAAATGTAAAATGATTATTTAAAGGACCAAATGGTATCGGAATTGGATAATTTTTGCATGGGTGAACTCATATCAGAATAGGTATTCGATTTTTATAAATTTTGTCGGGTTCTGAGGTGCGGTCCCGGGGAGTTGACTTTTGTTGACTTTTTACAAATTGTATAAGAACCATAGTTTTGTTAATTGGAATTGTTTTTTCTTGAATTGTTAGATGTATTCAAGTCGTTTTTGGCTAGATTGAGCCGAGCGTTGATGAATTGGTAAAGGAAAAGCTAAATTGAGTATTGAATTGGCCGGATTGAGGTAAGTATCTTGCCTAACCTCGTGTGGGGGACTTCCCCTTAGGATTTGAGTCTTCTATGCTAATTGTAGTCCGTGCATGCGAGGTGACGAGTGTGTGCTCAGACTTATTTGTGGGAAATTTGCCTCTAGGGTTCTTAAGTCCTTATGTTCATTATGTGAAAAGTATCACATCATGATTGGGCCTCCTAATTGCTTAAATTGCCTCTATATGCTCCATATGATGTTGTTAGCTTCCCTCTAATTCTTTCATGTTACTTGACCCTTAATTGCCTTAATTGAAGTGATTGTCTTCCTTATTGTTTTTATACTTATTGATTGTGAGTTCCCCTATGACTTCGTGCAAATATGTTACATGTCCATTTGTTGTGGTTACCGGTGTGATTATTACGTGCTTATTATGTCTTGTTGCTTTGTTAAGGTTAGTGTGCTTCTTGGTTTTCTTTTCGTGATCCTTATTATATACTATTCATGCTTGACTCGATGATTATTCATGTTGGACCAAGCTTATGGTAATTCCTTGGTATTTGACCGTTGTTGAGTATTGACTTAAGTTGGGATTCATTTTGTGAATTTAATTGTTTGGACGAGATTGGTTATTATTGATTCCCTTGCCGGGATGTATTGTTTATGATATTGTTTCCCTTGCCGGGATGTTATTACTTATGATATTGTTTCCCTTATCGGGATATTGTTATTATACTATTGTTCCCTTGTCGGGATTCTATTGTGATTTTATTGATTCTTTTGCCTGAATTGCTTTGTGATTGTTGCTTGGGTAAGGAAGAGTGTAAAAGCACGAAGGGTGATGCCGTACGTGATATTTGTGAGTGAGTGTAAAAGCACGAAGGGTGATGCCGTGCTGATATTGTAAATGTAAAAGCACGAAGGGTGATGTCGTGCCATAATATGAGTGATAATGCACGAAGGATAATGTCGTGCCATGATTATGTGAGGCAAAAGCACGAAGGGTGATGCCGTGCCGAATATATTGATTCTTATGGTGAGAACGAGAGTAAAAGCGCGAAGGGTGATGCCGTGCACTTTCTGTTTGCTATACTTATTTGTTGTTACCAATTCAAATGTTTTAACTATTTAGATTCCTTTACCGAAGTGATCCTTTGTGATGGAAACCCCATAGTGTTTTCAATACTTCGCCGTATTTATATACATATTTTTCAATACTTCAAATTTCAATAATTGTTTCGCCTTCAATTCAATTAGTTACTCAATTAAATTTCCTTAAACCGTCTGAGGTTGTATTTTACTTAAAAATGAAATTTCTAATAAGTTAATTTATTAAATCCCTTGTTAAAAGTAATAATTCATTCGATGTTGTACTTTAATTAAAAATGGTACTTTCTTTATCCAAATGATTTCTAAAAATAGCTTCGTCTTTTCTTGATGAGTTCCTAATTGGTTTAGAAGTTGTACTCCACTTTATATTATGTAAATCAGACTCCTTGAACATCTTAATTGCATTGGTTATGGACCCTATGAATTTAGTAACATGAGAACGTTGTTGTGTAAAGTGAGATAGAAATATGTGGGCACAAGGTGATGGGTGTGCTAAAAGTTTGGTAATTAAGGTTATGATTAGGGGTGTGCATTCGATTTATCGATTCGATTTTGACCCTTATCGATAATCACTTATTGATTATCGATTTGTACATTTGCTTATCGTTATCGTTTCAATAAGGTTTCGATTTGTTCGATTTTGATTTATCGATTTTTGGGGCTTATCGATTCGGTTATCGATTACACCAATAAGAAAATTTGCGGGATTCCACATAAAGTATATCGCTATAAACACACCTAATTAATATGGACAAAAAAAAAGCTAAAATAAGACGAACACCATTTATAACATAAAAATTGTGTCAACAAGCACATGCAATGAAACTAAAGTAAGGGATGTCATATGAAGGCTTATATAAAATACCTGGAGCAATGTAACCATAAGAACCAGCAATGGCAGACATGCATTCTGATGTCCTTTAATCTTGCAAGAACTTAGCAAGTCCAAAATTAACAACATGCGCTTCAAAATTGGAGTCCAGAAGAATATTGTTTGATTTCACATCACAATGGAGGATCAAAGGAGAGCAATCGTGATGGAGATAGCAAAGACCCTTCGCGACCTCCACTACTATCTTATGCCTGGTATCCCAATTTAAATGACCGCCTTTCTTGCCATGAAGAATTTCCCTAAGGCTCCCATTAGGCATGTACTCATAGACCAATAGATTTGTCTCATGATTCGAGCAAAATCCTAATAACCTAACAATGTGCCTGTGTCTGATCCTCCCAAGAGTCTGTATCTCTGCATTGAACCCATGATCATGAGAGGAACCCCTGCTCATAGCCGGTAACCTTTTAACGGCAACATGTTCTCCATTCGGCATTACTCCCTTGTAGACTATACCAGCACCTCCTTTTCCAATTAAATACGAGAAAAGCGACGCTGAAGAATGGGTAGGGGAAATAATAGGGTTAGGGATTTAGCGTAAAGGAAAGGGTATTATAGAATAAGGGTATATTTGTCGGTTTATTGATAAACCGATAACCAAAGAGGAAAAAATCGAAATCGATAACTCGATAAGGAAAATTTTGAAATCGAAATTGATAAACCGATAATAAATAATCGATTCGATTTATCGATAAACCGATTCGAATGCACACCCCAAGTTATGATATGAGAGTTTGAGATGGCTGGAGATTGTGCATCAGAAACAATATGATTTATTGAGCTGACATTGCCTTCCTTGTTTGAGTACATTTTTACTTATCTGTGTTCCAGCTATGTTGGTGTTAATTTATTTGGTTATCTTTCGTTTCCACCCATGTTTCTCTTTATTGTTTCTACTGATTGTAGTTTGTTCTTTCCTTGCTGTTGATATTACTTTGTCATTTCTAGGTTGATAGTTTATTATCAAATCCTATTTAATTTATTTGGCCAGTAGGTATTTGGACTGTTCCTCGTCACTACCCCACCGAGGTTAGTCTTGATACTTACTGGGCACCGCCGTGGTATGCTCATACTACACTTCTGTATATTTTTGTATACAGATCCAGGTATTTGATCGGTAGTAGTTGTGCGGTTCATTGCATTGGAGACTCAAGGTAAACCTGCTACAACGTTCGCAGGCTTTGGAGTCACCTTCATTTGTACTTATTTCCATTCGTTCCTTTTGTTTTGGAACAGTGATGTATTTATTTTGTATAACTAGTCTTAGAAAGGCTTGTGACTTGTACCACCGGTTTTGGGAATTGTAATTTGTTCAGAGTAATTTAATTTAAAGTTAGTAAATATTAATTTTATTTCAGTTTATGTTAGGGTTACCTAGTTTAGAGACTAGGTGCCATCATGACTCATTCGGAGGGATTTTTGGGTCGTGACATGCATAGTTGGGCGTGATCAAGTTTTGGCGTTGTTGCCGGGGAACTAAAGGTGTGGCTGTAGCTGTAGCTGCAATATTGCTTGGTATCAAGTTTAAACTTTTATTTTATTTGTTTTTATTTTTGATTTGAAATACATGTCATCTTGGAATTATGAAAGTTCTGATGTTGGTAATTCTACTTTTGATCTTCCTTATGCATATTGTGGAGTAAACAACCCATGGAAAATTATCAAAATATTCTTGAGAGCGAGTTATGTATCCCAACTCAAACTTATGTGTGGAATGTGTGTGATATGTGTGGTGGTCAAGATGGTCACTTTCACGGTTGTACTTATATTTCTTATCTTCCCCCAACTCCTTACTATGATGGTTCTACTTTTTCTTGTGAAGTTAATAGGAAAAAAGAACCCGGGGATGATGATATGAAAGAGATTAAGGATATTCTAAGGTGCCTTGTGGAACAAAATAATGAGAAAAAATTGCGCATACAAAGGCAAGATGCTACTATTCGCAACCTGGCCGCACAAATGAGTCAATTGGTTGAAGCATTTAATGTTCAACAAGCCAATATTGGGGATAATAGCCAAGAAAAGCATGAATTAGATACTGAAATTGAGGTGCTAATGGAAGAGGTCAGAGTAGAACACCAACAATCTATCCAAGAATTTGAGGATGCCGATGTTGAAAAAGTAATACTAGAGTCAGCAAAGGATATTGAAGATACAAATTTAGTTGACTCTAGTGTGATTGGTGTTGAGGAGGTCGAAAATGTTGAAGTTTATGTAGTTGAGCGCGTTGAACCTCATTCCAAACACTACTCTACATTATGTTCAGATGGTGAAATGAGAATTGATTCGTTTGAGCATAAAAAGGAGTCGAGGGAAGAAGTAGATGAGCCTTATATTTTGAAATTTTCAAGGTCGTCTAGGCAAGGTGACACTCCTCGGTCGAGAGCCAAAAAGTGCATGAGAATTTATTTAATTTTTGGCTCGCAAGAATTTGTACCGCCCCAAGAGCATAATCATAAGCTTGAAGCAAAACTTGGGGTTCAATTCATAAGCTCGAGGTGGAGGCAAAAAGTAATTCGCGTTGTGCCATGACTTTAAATTAGGTGCTTGTTGGGAGGCAACTCAACTTTACTGCGTTTTTATTTTTTATTTTTTTTAGTTGTTTACTTTCTGTTTAATTGTGTTATTTTTTTGTAGTGTAGTTTTTTTAATGTTATAGGAGCATGGAAAGGAAATCCATTGGAAAGAGGCAAAAGCAAACCATATGGTTAAAACTAAGTGTAAGGAACCCACATGAAGGACTAGGCTTGGGAGAAATCTGAGTATCCTATGAGCTGCTGATGCTTCGGCCTTTGGCCTACCAAAGAGTTTCTTTCACCCTCTTTTTATTTATGGTGTGCATTGGGGACAATGAGCAATTTTAAGTGTGGGGTTGAGGAGATTGTCTGAGTTATTTTCTATGATATTATAGTTGTGAATAATAATAATAATAATAATAATAATAATAATAATAATAATAATAATAATAATAAATTAGACTTTTCCTGACGATGGATCTCTTGAACAACTTTCTTGAGGGATTAAGGTCCAATGAAAAATTTTCAAAAATATTTTTTTATTATTTTTAGTTAGTCGTAGGTAGATAATAATCCCCCTTGATTTTTATTTTTGTCATCGATTATTTTTTCAAAGGATATAACTTGAACCGGGTAAATTTTATTTTTTATATATATTTTGTATTTTTTAGGAAACACAAAATTGAGTGCCCTATAAGCCCTTTGACTCGTTTGATGCTAGCATTATTAGGCCATAACATCCTAATATGTTTTAATGAAAATTGATGCCATGGAAGATTGAATAGCCTATTTGTGACACTTTCTCTCAGTTACTTGACTCATTGCTCATGTAGTGCTCTATTTCTTAATACTTCTTGACTTTGTGATTACTTGTCTAAACTTGAGAGTTAGAATGGAATCGTCCTGACTGGGGTCATGTGCATCATGTGATGTGAGGTTTTGATCACATTATATGCTATCATGTTTTTGTCAAGAACTTGCCCTGTGTGTTAGTCGAAGCAAAAATAAGTAAGCTTTGTGAGTGTAGGAGAAGATGTAGGCGTTCCTTTGATTGTCCATTGAGCTATTGGGTCACCATAAATACAATTATCCTTAGATATCCCATTTGAGCCTATAAGATTTTTTTGGCACCCACATTACAAGTCGAGTCCCATTTTTGTTCTTAATTAAATCTTTTTGAAACTTTACCTCCGAAAGCACATAAGTCGCTAGAAAAGTAAGGTGAGAGTTGGGATAGCTTTTGTGAAACCATGTATGTTTTGGTAGATCATTAGCCTGGCAGCCTAAAATTGTGGAGAATGTTGAAGAAAAGGAAAAAGAAAAAGAAAAAGAAAAATACAAAAATAGAAAAAAAAAGAGAGAAAAAAGTATATAGAAAATACGCATCCTATTCATCAGGATTCGGGCTAGTGAATGTAGAGTTGTGCTTAAAGAAAAAGGGCTAAGTTATATATGGTTTTGTGGCATTGCTTGAATTGGTCATGAAAAGTGTGTAGTGGAAAGTTAAGTGTAGTGTATTAAAATGCTTAGGAGGGTGAGTCACTATATCCAAAAAACTATATCTTACCCGTTCTTTAGCCTACATTACAACCCGTAAAGACCTAATTGATCTTAGATTTTACAAGCTTAGATTAGTGGAGATATACACTACGGGCAATCCTATGGTACAACCACGGGATGCACATGAATTTTTTTATGAGAGTGAGTGGTTCTTTGTTCATATATATGATATCCTTAAATATATTCGAATGCATATCTGAATGTGAGGACAAAATACCCTCTTATTCTTTGGTGAGGCACATGATTCCATGGCGGATATGTGACGTTATTAAACATCTTTTGTTGGGTGAGTGTATGAGTTGAGAGTACTTATTGGCGACGAGTTGGTCTGTCAGACTGGTGGTTATGGGCAGGTTGTTTGAGTGTTTTTAATTGGTCATTAATATTCCGATATGTGAAAGTTGGGAAATGTATGAATGCGTATGCAAGAGATCAATTGTTGGTATCAACCATGGTCATAGGTGTAGTGTGTTGAATTGCCAAATGTTCCTCCATTGGATGATGTCTTGTGTGCATTGTTTGGTTAGCAAAGTTTTAGGTTGCTTGAGGACGAGCAAGAGCTTAACTGTGGGGTGGTGATGTTAGGCTAAAAATCCATATTTTCGCAGGTAATTTGTCATGCATTATACCTCAATATTGTTAACTTTGGTGTAAATATTTGTGACTCGAGCTTAATAATGGTATTTATATGGGTAGGAGTCAATTTGAAGTGATTTGGCAAGCTTGCATGTAAAGTGAAGTAAAAACAGAAGAATTTGGAGAGAGTATGATTTTGGTCCCCAGGTTGGTGCGAGGCACCAACCAAAATGCCAAAGGCAGAATAGTGGAAAATTTCTGTCTTTTGGTTGGCGCCAGGCGCCAAGCGAGACGGCTAAGGGCGGATTTTGTCCTAATTTGGCTAGGACTTGGTAGCTTCAACCCTACACGCCCCTAACATATATAAAAGGGGTTCTAAACATATTTCTTAGGGGAGGGACATTATTGGAGAGGCAAGAAGTCTACGAGAACACTTGGAAGCAACAAATCACAAGAGTTTTCTCTTCCGTTCTTCCTTAATCTTTATTTTAATGCTTTCAATTATTATCATGATTATTAGTATGGTTGTGAATAGCTAAACTTTCTTATCGACTGTTTGATGGAACCTTTTAAAGGATGATTTTTCTGTTGCATTTTATATAATTGAGCCATTGGATTTCTCTACTTGTTCAACTACGTGTTTATTGCTGTTGATTGAATGACCATTAATTGACTGTGCCTATTTAGTATGTATTGCTTGGAAAATGGTACATATTTAGGTAGTTGTTGAACAACATCACTCCTAACGTGTGTGAGGAATCAATACGGAGGGTTTAAAGGTGGG